GACACTGTGGTGTGCCTTCCTCCTAAGAGAAGACACTGTGTGGTTTCTCCCCCCCCCCCCCCTTATGTGAAGACATTGTAAAATATATCCCTCCCGTGAAAAGACATTCCAGTGTATTTCCTCCTCTATGAAAACAGTAGTGTACTTTCCTCTTGGGTTTGTGTAGACACTATGGTGTATCTTTCATCTCTGTGAAGACACTGCGGTGTATCTTTCATCTTTGTGAAGACACTGTGGTGTATCTTCCATCTCTGAGAAGACACTGCGGTGTATCTTCCATCTCTGAGAAGACACTGCGGTGTAACTTCCATTCCATGCGGTGTATCTTCCATGTCTAAGAAGACACTGCTATGTATCTTCCATCTCTGAGAAGGCACTGCGGTGTATGTTCCATCTCTGAGAAGACACTGCGGTGTATCTTCCCTCTCTGAGAAGACACTGCAGTGTATCTTCCATCTCTGAGAAGACACTGCGGTGTATCTTCCATCTCTGAGAAGACGCTGTGGTGTATCTTCCATCTCTGAGAAGACACTGCGGTGTAACTTCCATCTCTGAGAAGACACTGCGGTGTATCTTCCATCTCTGAGAAGACACTGCGGTGTATCTTCCATCTCTGAGAAGGCACTGCGGTGTATGTTCCATCTCTGAGAAGACACTGCGGTGTATCTTCCATCTCTGAGAAGACACTGCGGTGTATCTTCCATCTCTGAGAAGACACTGTGGTGTATCTTCCATCTCTGAGAAGACACTGCGGTGTATCTTCCATCTCTGAGAAGACACTGCGGTGTATCTTCCCTCTCTGAGAAGACACTGCGGTGTATCTTCCATCTCTGAGAAGACACTGCGGTGTATCTTCCATCTCTGAGAAGACACTGCGGTGTATCTTCCATCTCTGAGAAGACACTGCGGTGTATCTTCCCTCTCTGAGAAGGCACTGCGGTGTATCGTTCATCTCTGAAAAGACACTGCGGTGTATGTTCCATCTCTGAGAAGACACTGCGGTGTATCTTCCATCTCTGAGAAGACACTGCGGTGTATGTTCCCTCTCTGAGAAGACACTGTGGTGTATCTTCCATCTCTGAGAAGACACTGCGGTGTATGTTCCCTCTCTGAGAAGACGCTGTGGTGTATCTTCCATCTCTGAGAAGACACTGTGGTGTATGTTCCATCTCTGAGAAGACACTGCGGTGTAACTTCCATCTCTGAGAAGACACTGCGGTGTATGATGTATTTAAATGCATTGTTTAGCTCTATTGTATATTACTTCTAAGTTGTATTAAAAGGTGTGTCGTTTTTATTTTCCGGCAGGATGACGCCCTGGTATATAATTCGCTAGCTTGATAACCTAACATGCGGTCTAATGCTATTATTCAGTCTGTACTTCGGCAAAATAAGCGGATCTTTCAAAAGTATGGTACTATGTCAATGTCAGCCTAACAGAAAATTGCTGGAAAAACCTTTATGTAAAGATTAAAATGCCTAAATATTCCAAGGAAGCTTTACAATATCGTCACTGGTGACATATTTCTCATTTTATCTCAGTCATATCATTAGGTGGTTGGATGGCGCAGTGGAAGCACACTCGCATTTCACGAAGGCGTCCGGAGCCCGATTCCCGTTCAACATTGTAATTCAAAGTTACTTTACGATAAAATGCTCAGAATATATCATTATTCAAACTATTTAAAATGCTGCAATTTGTCATTTTACTGACGCAATCATCTCTGAAGACATCTATAAAAAATGGCAAATAGAACAGTTCAGTTTATAGTTGTCCTTAATTCTTTTGCTTTTTGAAACATGTCGACAATTATTAACGGCGTCACAAAGAATTATTTCAGTTAATCGGCTTGTTTCAAATCACGTTGTGATCCCGTCGATGTATTTTTTTTCTCGCAGACAACTCGGTGAATGACCTATCGGCATTGTATTTGTCACTCAATTACCAGAAATGTTTATTTTTATTGTTTTTTTTTATGCGAGAAGAATTGCATGGTGTACTGTTTTCGACTATTTTATCGTCAACACTTTACTTGTTTTGATATTATCAAAAGTCACGACCATGTGGAACCGCACACCTATTTGTGAAATCTTACTTGACGAACAATGCACATTAATGATGTCTGTCAGAGTAGATCCGGTATATGTTGCGTGCTACTTAGACTTTGCATAGAAACACGTTTCCAACACCATTGATGTCGCGCTGATCAAGTTACAGCTTCAGATGACGTACCTTACACTCTTACACAGCTTAACTGTGTATGTATAAATGCAATAAAGAGAAAAAACGTCGTTCCGATGTCAGTCTTTTGTCAGAGTTTAATATTGATATTGGAAAGTGTTGTTTGTTGTCATAAGGTGGGGATGGGAGTTGGGGATGGGGTCGGGATGGGGCGGGGTCGGTGTGTGGGTGGGGTTTCAATGGTTAAATAGTATATAAGCTGAATTTACAAATTTATATTTCCACGGAATGGTGAACAAAAATTGTCAAATATCATAGTACTAGAGGATTTTGCGATCAAGATTTATCCATGAAAAAATCTAACCCTGACCCCAGGAAAATGAATGGTTTTTCGTTGATTTGAATTTCAGGCAGTATCAAAATGAAATTTTCAATTTCTAAGTTGACTTGGGGTAAGGACGGTGATATGATAATGGTATGATATTAAGATGGGATCTGTGTTATTGTGACAATACAGGGAAATATGTCTTTGTTTCCAGAAAATGTTCGGCGTACACGTTTATTTCAAATGTGTTATACCGTTTACCGATGTGGTTTAGTTGTGATTATAACTACTTTTGAAGGTATGAAAAAAATATGAAATACACAAGGAAAACTTATGCATGGTCTATGACTGTGTCACTTTAAACGACAAGATGACTTTTCATAAGATAAGAAAAAATATATAGGTATTTTACACCTGATCTTATGATCCTTGTGCTTTTTGATAGTCTGCTAAAAGTCTTCCTTATGTTAAAATTTTCTCTAGTTTTATTGAATTTGAGTTTTGATTATGATTATGTTGACATGTTGGTATGTTTCTGCATAAGTATTCCGTGACCCGTTACTGAAATGAAATACCGTACATAAAAATTTTGTTTTAAGATGATGGTTTAAACATTTCAACTCCACTCGGAGAATGTAATGTATAAGGAGGTGTGGGTTATATTTTCATTGTTTTGTTTATCTGTACTATCACTAACACGCAACAATATTCTGGTACTCGTCAAGAGGCCTGTACTGATTTTAGCGTAAATTGAAGCGCCGTTATTTGCCAAATTTATTAAGATTAGTTAATCATAGTTAGATTTATTCAGTTAAATGGACGGACCAGCAAAATCTAATAATAAATGTCTGTCCAAAATTGGAAAAAAAGGAGAGGCAGACACCATACTGAAAGTCACAGTTTCTTTTTAAAACATGTTAACCGAAATACACTGTCATGCGTTAAAGGTCATATTACGCAAGCATCATACATATTAAAATAGACTTCAAATTTGAAAAAAAAAGTATCAATAATAGAAAGATGTATGTTGTCTGAAGAAAAAGTTGTTGTGTTGTATATGTGTGAACTATAGCATTATGAATCAAGTAAATTTATTATGATACATGTATCTTAGCGAATGTTCTTGTTTTAAAGACGGTACTTGGCACGAGAGAGAACATTCAGACGGTACTTGGCACGAGAATGAAAGCATTCAATTTAAAACGCAAATTAAAGCGAACTTAAAACAAGACCACACATGTTTGTCAACAAAGTTTTGCATTTTCAAGCAAACGTGTTGTTTTTAACTTGACAAAGACTTAATTTAACCTTGAACGCTTTGAAAACTGGGACGATATCCAAACAATATATGTAAAATAGATTCTCTACAAGAGATAGACTGACAGGCCCTAAATCGTACTTCAGATTTGTCTGACATCGTCATTAGATGTGTTATTTGCAGCGGCAGCATAGTCGGCCTCAATCATCCTTCCACGAGAATAGCCTATTGTCTTCAGCCTGAAACAAACGATAATTACACCCGATCGTCTTATCAGATACATCTGAATAAAGTTATTTTGTTTGGAACACTTTTGAATAACCCGAAATAGGGAAAGGCTGTATAGATCGTAGTACTTTATGTAAAATATTATCAAACCATCAAAATGGAACTAGAAGTGTTTAAGTTTATAATCCTTTTGAATATGCAGATGACATTAGTCAACCTTTAAATGTTATCATGTCTGCTCTCTTAAACTTTGGAAATTTGGTGACCATGCCTTGATGTGCAAAGAAAAACGTAATACAATTTATCAAAATGTCTACAGCATGTCTTGAATAATAGATTAAAAAAAATTCTGTTGATAAGTGTTTCATTAATTCCTAAAAGTGCATCTAGATTAAACCTAAATAAAATAGATATACTTTATCTGTCATTCAAGACGATGTATGTCTCAACGACCAGATAAGAATAATAATAAATGGTTTCTTAAAATTGAGAAATCGTCACGTGTATTAGATAACCATACATCCGTCACAACGTTTTGTCCAATGATATTACAGGGAATGATGTGTTGGTGTAATGTATATGCCATTTCGTCATACAAAGAACATTGATTTACGTATAAAATGACATATATGTACTTTGGTATATGATACTGTATTTATTTGTTTTATTTGTGGTATACACTATTAAATATATTCGGATGCGTCATATAAAATTTCCTTTTAAGAAGAAATAGAGCAAGAGTGTACATTTGATATTTGTCTTCGCACCTTGTAAAAAAATCGGAAAAATATACAGAAAAAATATGCCGAAAAAATTATTCTTGAAGCAATTTAGTAGTAATAAAAATATAATGAACATCTGAGAGGATTGCTTATTCCCTAATATCAGAATCCAAAATCACATGTGAGAATAATTCGTTTGACGACAATATTGATATATTGCAATTTAAGAGACTTACAACATATTCTTGTCGTTATGGTGATGAGTTTTATTTCTTTTCATTCCAGTCTGTAAGACTTGTATAGTCCACTATCTGCAGACGAGTCACTATTGTCCAGTATGTACAGGCTTAGTACACAAGAAAAATCCATTCTCGGAATTAAGGTGAGAAATAAAAATTGTAATTCTTAACATTCGTCGTTGTTATACTTATGTTATCATCATTCCACAATTCGCTTTTCAAAACAATATTTACAAATAAAAAAATAAATTCAAATTTGTAAACTTTTATTTTTATTTCTTTCATGTCATTATCAGAATTTGTTACAATATTACTAGAAATGAATTCTATGTTTTCACGATTTTGATTTTACGTTTCCTTCACAATTTGGCGATATTCTGATTGATTAGATCTGTAAATCGCTTTCCTCCATTTTGTCGTAGATTGATAGAATTTCAGTCGATACCCTGCTTGACTTTGTATTTAGTTATTTGAAATTATTAACACAATCTACCATAATAACACAAAGCTAAAATTCTAAATAAAAAGTCATATAAAACAACAAACCTATAATGATTAAAAATCAATTAAAAATAGTTTAATTTTTGTGATACATTGTAATCTGGTTTCCTCACAGGTGTTACTTTAGAATAATTGGAATGTGCCGAACAACAACAGATAGAACGTGCACATTTTGGTGTATATTTGTTGACAGCTAGATGTTTACACTGTATAAATCCCTGTGTAATGACGTCTAGTGTCTGGAGTAGAACTGATGTGTCTAATACTATATTCTAATCAAACCAATATGTAAGTAATTTAACGACAGTGACGTCTCATTGATCATGACCGTTATGATAATGACTATGACGTAATTTTCAACGTAATTATGACGTCATGATACAATTGTTTGCCAAAAAACTTGTATCATATAAAATTTATATTAAATGACAGAATCATGTTCATCTGATATGTGTTTTTAATGAATAATGAATATGTCATCTATTGTTCATTTGTGTCGGAAGTTACGTCTTCGCAACGACCATTGCCTTGTGAAGACGTTCTCCACGTATGACGCGCCACTGACAGACGTAATTACAGTGCAACAGCACTATAGATTTACCTTTTATAAGTAATACTAATTGATACACTCCGGCTGATTTTCGTATCACCGATTATAAAGGTAGTCAGATGTTGTTTACATAATCATTCGATTTTCATTTTTCCAGATCAGATCATCTTCTACAAAACATTGTCTATAAAGCTGTTCCCGGTCTGTTCACAGGTATGTTTTTTATGCACAGTTACCCATCAACTTCAAAAATTAGTTTGATTGGAGATTTCTACAAAAAATGCATAAAAAAATTTAAAGAAAATAGAATTTGTTTCCATTGGTCATTCATATATTAAATATCAAGTGAAAGAATTTTCATTTGTATGATAATCTCATTACTCCTTAGAAGATGAGACAAAAGACACACAAGTAAATAGCCCATTTAACTATAAAAGAGTTAGATACATTAAAGCCAAACAATAAATCAAACACAGCGTTTTCGTCATTCTAGGACTCGACAATGTCGCTAAGGGCGTATTTGTTTAAGTCAAGGAGACAACAGGTTTTTTGTGTGTTTTTTTCCGGATTTGGAATGGCAGGCGTGCAGTTTACCAATAACGGATTCTCATATGCGACAATATTTTGTAGATAACTACTTCACTAACTTGCAGTTTTTGAAGGAAATCAGTCATTTATAATTCTTTTGTTTATGGTTTAATTACTATAGTATTATGTTGATGATAAGTAAATCAATATTTGTTCTTTTCCGTGTTCACATCAAGTCAGTTATCTGTAGTCTCTGTGTGTCGATTTCAAAGTCAACCTCCTCATGCCATCGTATCCAGCAAAATGACCATCAATGTTTGTTGACATTATAGGTGTCACGGGCAAAAATTCAATTAACTTCCTATAGCTATCGAAATTAATGTGAATTTGAAGCAACATCAAAGATCGTCATGTAAACTGAATGAAAACAAGCCTGCAACATGATATACTTGTGACCAAATAATGTATGCATACACATGTGCGAAGAATTTAATGTATGTTGTGGCCGAAGTCACTAAAGTAATTAAACCCAGACATATTGAAGGCTTCGACGTTGTCTTTTATGTTGAAAATAATTCTCTAAAGGCAGATATTTTGTTAATGAAAATGTCACCGGTTTATTCATCTCAGTCTATATAGTAAGAATCCACCCACTCATCCATCAATTCATTCCTTCGTCCGTCCGTCCGTCGTCAATTCTTTCTTTAAAAATGTACGTCTGCTTTCAAAGATGTTTCACTGCGCACAAGACATACTGAGTCATTATGATAATGTAGAGACAAATGATTATTCATTTATACTGCAGCATGTGGACAATTTATCACACACACCAGTCAAGAATCATTTGTAAATTATTTGTAAATCTAAGCCCTATACTACATCGATTGCCTTAAGTACATCTGTCCTTCATCAGCATTTGATATTTTATTATATAATATATATATACACAATCAAAATTCCAGTGACAATTCAGGAAGTAATGCTTTAGGGTGTTTTCGGTACATGCGTCCGATTTTATTTAACACTAAATTAACATCTCACTGTGTCAGATATGTGCATATTTTATGTCCTTAATATGTTGAACGTTACTAATAATAAGTCTAATATTTCGTAAACAAAATGGTATTTGAACAAAATAATCGAACTTCAAATTCATTTCGATTTTTATATAGGTTTTCACAAAAAACTGTTTCCATCGTGATCACCTTATATTTTTTATATTTTATGAATACAAATTTCAAAACGTCATTTGCAAACGATGTATTTGTAGATATGTACAACGAAAATATTTTTTTTCATTTTGAGAGTCCTTGATTTCCGTATTAATTCGCAATGAGACTAACTCACAAAGAAAGAGGTAACTATTAATACACAAACACCACACATTTTAAAACATATCATAAGTAAAATATGAATTATAAAAGTGTTGAAAAATAAAACAAAACTTTTTAAAATGGAAAAGAATGATTGGACAAACTGTACAGTAGCCCTTTATCACGCATCACTATTGCTGTAAATTTCATGTTTGTTACACAGGACAATAATTCCGTTCACTAGGGCCTCCGTGTTAAGTATGCCGTCATACCAAAAATTGGGAATTCAAAGAAAGTTTTTGTTAACATATTGATAGTTTTATGTTATTCTTTAATGAGTAAAAATCATGTACTCACACTGATTTTCCATATTTAAAGAATGTTGGTTCGTTGTTACAAATTGGATATATCATCATATTGTATAAACTAACCGAAAATCTAATCACGCATTTCGTATTTCAAGTATTCCTTATGTCGATTCAGTTAATTAATATTATTCGTCTTCATAAAATAAAGTATTCGTTATAACCGGAGTGATAATGATAGTCGATGGATTTCAAAGCACACTACAAAACTTGCTCTTCTGCTTGTTGCTAAATGTACCCCGATTTTCTGCATAACCGGAAACGGAAGATTATGCAAAACACACACAAGTAGATAGCACTTTTCATTATAACTTTGGAATTCAATACACCGCAGCCAATTCCTGAAATAAACTACATCATACAGCTGTTTCGGCCTTCAAGGACTCGACAGTGATGTTAAGGGTCTAACGTTGGAAACCTAGAAGGCGGTTGAAGAAAAAGAAAACTATGGAAAGAAATATAAAGAAATGTAGATAGAAGGTGCATAAGCTATATTTCAAAACGTTTCCCAATTATCAAATGGGTTGTTCATGGAAAACGCAAGTATATGTGAATGCATCAAAACGATGTATTTACGGTTACGGCAAACCGTGGAAAGTTTACGTCCACCATCAATGTAAAAGAGACAACACATTTCAATACCAATTAAGAATTGGATAAAGTAGAGGCAAATGAAACAGAAATGGCACTGCAAAGCCACGTCTATTAATAAGGACGATTGACGACATACCAGAATCTGAGTACAGTGACACCGACATGTACGTTTACAAGCTAAACATGATGTATGGAAGTAGAGACCACAGTCAAAGATAGATAATATTTCAACAATTATCCTACTATTTAAATATAGCGGGACAAAAAGCTAATGTAGTTTTTTTTCGTAGCACGTACACTTACGATAAGAATCGTTATTGCGAAAACTTCCCATTGCAGTGATTCACGACACATCTATGCCCATATCGTACAAATTTATGATGCTCATTTGAAGTAGTTTCGACGGACCTGGAATTATATATGAGCAATAAACATTGTCATAATTGATTGTACGAAAGATAAAGTGATGCATGTTGCTTACAGATATGTAATATCTTACATAAAATGAAAAAATCAAAGTATTATTATATGCTAAGTATGCAGTATCAAGATTTGCAATAATGCGGCTGTATATATAATGCTGCATAAATTGAGTCGATTAAGTTAGTAATGTGCTCCTTTCATCAAAGGCACAATGACATAAAGTAAAATTTGTTTTCTTTTTAGATGAGATGAGTAGAAGAAGAGCGTGTTACAAAAACCAAGATCAAGAAACAGATGCCGAAGCCATAGGTAACATATACAATATTTTAATGGAGGACGTAATACCATATGCTATTTCAGCTTTAGACCTATTGATGTCAAAAGGATATACTGAGTGTTATATATATTTTCTTTCATTCTTCTTAAGTAGTAAGGAATCAATAATCAAAGTTAGGTTTTGGTGTGATACAATATCTACACCAAGTTTATTCAAGTCTATCAAAACCAACAAACTTGCAATTGACTTTAAATCCCAGACCTAGAAGTAAAAACAAAAAGAGAAAATACCGATGTGTCAACAGAGTCTTAATTCAAACTAAAATTCAGCAAAAATAAATAAAACAAGAACAAACGATAATATCCATGGATACAACTGAAAAAGTACGATTAGGATAAGACCAGTGTTCCCGAAGGGTAAGCGTCGTCTGCTTCATCGAAACCCGCCGTTCAATTCTCTGTCAATCCAAGTAATTTGTGCTTACGTGCCATTAAAAGAAAACAATAACTAAACAACCAGGCAAAAATAACGAGCGTGAAACACGCTTGGCTTCATATCGCTAAAGGAAATTTTAAAAAATCGCAATAAGATCATCATGATAACCATACAACGTATTATAGAAGATAGATTTGTCCAGCTTTACACAACCTACTGAACTTATAACAATACATTATGTACTTTGCATATTTCCTATTTCTAAGGACGATGGTATAGGTTATTTAGTAAAAAACGATTGACTTAAATGATTACAAAAAATCATCATTCTTTAAGTGTTTGTCATTAAAAAAATGTTAATTCATCCGGTTCCATGACGTTTTGACATTTCTAACATTGATAAAACATTTTAGATTGTATTTGCGGAATATGGTTTCCAAAGTGTAAGGATGATATGTTAATGTTCCAGCTTGAACATATGTGTTAGATAAAATCCCATAACATGGTAGAAATGGTTATCCAATTAAGAGCAATCACAGCCTGCGAACCTCGTTTAGGATCATATTACATTAAACCTCTTAAGTCTAATGACGGTTTGATGTAAAATTTAGATTTACTGTATCTTTATGATTTAAACTTGAAAAAGAACTTCTAAAATAGAACTATTGCTTCTAAGGAAAAATAGCAAAAACTAACATTGCATTAAGATAATTAATCTCCTATCTATCTCGCGACATTGACAAATCCTTCTCATATTTATAGAGAACGTTTAAATGGCTTTGGAGGTCTTTTGTTGGATCTGTTAATCAGCTTTAACTCTATAATACCATACATCTATCCTTGTATCTCGTCTCTGTGACTGCAGTTGTTATCACCCGATATTTCACTAATAGGAAATATTAATAGCAAGTGCATCGCCTGACTTCAATTTGAAGTAGTAGCAGTTTCCGATGTCTGTTTGTAGTCATAATGAACAGCGTATTAAATGTGTTTGAGAATAAACAGATGATTGCTTCCGAATTAAACATCCCTTTTGTTTTTTTGCTTTATTACATGAGGAAGCAACCCTGTCTGTAATTCTGATTAAAGATTTTCGCTTGCAAGTGAAATGCCAAACTTTTCCCGTATAGCATTATATGATTCGCCATCTAAATGACCCCAATGTTCCTACACATTAACAACAAATAATGCTTAATTTGACAAAAATATTTAAGAATCACGGTCGAAAGGTTTATATCAATCTGTATACGTCATGTTGAATAAGCAAAGTATAAATTCCAGTGAGGTCTATTTTTAGATGGTATAATTTCGTAAAATCAAAACCACATTATTTCATATGCAGATCATGTCGTAATAAATTTGCATTTAAATCATACCTGAAACGTTTTGGATACAATATAAATAATATTCCCTACATACAATACCTCAGTATAGTCATCTACACCAATCACAAGGTATGGACAAATACAAATTATGTTTTCGCACTGAATGATCATGAAAGTAAACTTGTATTAAGATAACTTTATCGTCTCGTATCTTCATAATGTCTCCCTTGTAAACACATCAGAAACACATTGCCCTTCTGCCTGAGTAATCGTAGTTATGAGCTCTTTCTCTTGACGTTGAGGGGTTTGATATTTATCCAGATTCCGTAATCAAACCTTCATTGAAAAAAAAATTCCATTTGTTGATAACTTATCAAAATGCCAGAACAATGGTGTATAGTCGATGTTTAAATGATTCAAATGTGTGAGGAATAATGCATATTTTTTCCTATAGGGTTCAAAGGTTACATGTTTGTGATATATACTTTACATCTAGGTAAACGTTCAGTAGAAATCGGGAAACGAATAATTATCTCCCCTGAGGAAAACATCAGCCTTTCGCTTGAATTCACAACAAAGTAAGTATCGTTGTCTTTTGCATCTTTTGTTTTTAATTTGATATTATTTAACCACTGAATGGTGAACTGATAAGATGAATATATCACTGTAAAATCAATGCATTCATTCAAGGAAAGAAAAAACGAAATTTCTTATCAACCTGTCAAAAGTTAAACAAAAGATCATATATATACCTTATTAATTATTGACGATTTATGTTTATTTCTGCAGTCTCTCGGCATGTGATGACATTGAAACAGAAAATCAGGTATGTATTATATGAGATGATAAAAAATCAATGCGAATCTTTAGGAAACGTCTCTTGGGCGAATATATTATACTTAACATGTTACCTCTTTTAATTGTGGATTGTTGAATATTATTTAAAATTATGTTAATGGAAGAAATATTCAGATAGAATACCAAGCATTAAACAGCCATATTATATGAGATAAAATGTATTGGTTGTGAACATATACAACATTAAAATAAGTGTGGAATGATAGGTCTTATACACATATCACAATCAGTTATAAAATGTGTAATACCTATTACAAATGATTATTTAGAGGCGTATTTGTTCCTGAGTAAAAGAGTGCGAGAAAGTAAATATCGACAATTCGGCTATTGTTTAATCCTGTGTAAGCTGCACAATAGTGTGACAAAATGGCGATAAGATTATACCGAAAACAAGTCAAACAGATGAACTTTAATGTGTACATTAGGTAGTAATACTATACCTACATATTGGTTGTAATAGAAGAACTGTTTTCTAATTTCATTCTTCTAAAAGTTTAAATCTATGAAATAATGAAGTCCTTGTGAATAAGTATACGTATGGGAGTGGGAGGGGAAATTGAGGCTAATCGGTTTGTTTTTATTTACTTTTTATCGTGATATACAAGCGGAAAGTGGAAAACGTACCTATCATGTAACTTTGTTGTATTTCAATTCCATGATTTTCATCTGATTGACTTAAATAATTTAATCAGTTTGTGTATAATCTATTACGATTGTGTGAATTGTCCCTCAGTAATGATAACGATTGGAGGTACTATCAACATACGAAATTACCTATGAAATGAAAATGTTTCAAATCATCAAAGGCTATGAAACTGCGCTGGAAATAATCTCGGACAGAATCACCTCAAAACATGTACAGTATAACGTCATTTTATTAGTATGGTGTATATTTCTTATATTTCTGACAATATTCCATGGCATGATGTTAGTATAAACATATTTGTTCAGAGCAATTTAACCTTGTAAATAAACATTTCTTATGCATCGTATTTGGCCCTTTTTTTTTTACAGACCATTGATATCCGATACCTGTTGTGTCCGGCTGCAGTGACCATCGGTAATCTGAAGAAATTCCTGAGAATGAAATTCTCCCTGTTGGATACATATCTGGTGAGATATTGTGTCAGATGATTTCTCAATGATCTCTTTTCTCATTCCTTAATACGAATAATAAACATGTCGTGTGTCTTATACTGGTACTGTCCACAAGCATGTAAATAGTATCTTCTATCATGAGTTTTTTTTTTATCTAATGCATTATACGCAAAACTTTAAGTAAATCTTAATCAAACAATTATATCATAGTTTCATGACAACGTATTTACACGAGAAGCCAATCAGGTGGACATAGCAACACAAAATATGCTTTAAACAGTTTATCATAACTGTATATTTGAAAAATACTATTTAAGCTATTGAATAAGAAAACGTTATTAGAACTATTGTCGGAAGGATCAAATCAAGCTATGTACTAACTGCACATTACGGTATTAATGATAAAAGTTGTTCCAAATTATTCTCATTTATGGAAATACTGTGAAAAATGTTATGTCCGAAGGATTCTGTATTTGTCATAATGACGGATGAGGTGAAATAACGAGAAACAAACACCTAAAACTAAATCAATATATGGAGATTTTAAAACATTTTCTTATCTTGAAAAACGAATCTTTTCTGCTCGAAATGTTTTGATAACATGTGAAAATTTCAACCATCGAAAACAGGTAACATTTACCATATCTTTGACATAATATTTAAGGTTGATCTTTACCACGAAGACGAGGTTTTACTTGACAATTACAGTTTGGTGGATGTAGCCTACATTTCTTCATGGAACGGGGTAAGTAGGGTAAATGGTACGCTATGATAAAACAAATATTTACTTTAGAGGAGGTACACGATATCAAAATCAAAGGAACCACGACACAACTTACACATCACAGTTCATTCTATTTTAGATACAATGTATTAACATTATCCAGGCTTTTTCGAACATCATTGTGAAAGTATCGATTTATAAAAAATATCAAAAAGGAATAAATAACAACTGTATCCTGAAGGTTTCTAAAATATCAGATCGATCTGACAAGTGATGAATTAAATCAAGCAATCTGAGGCCGATTTAATCAAAGGAAACACTTCAACTACAATGAAATACCACAAAAATAGTATAAATCATAAGATGTAAAGGTGCACATGCATGAACCAAAATTAGATGTCCGAAATGCATTTTCTGATTTAGAATCTACGTTACTTTCTCACATTCAGTAATATTACCTAAATGTACTATATTGTAAGGTTACAAAATGCGCCTGAAATGTTTTGGAGTGTAAATATTTACCAAATTAAGTTTCTGTTTGATTGAAAAATATTCTACAATACTGCTAATTCAATGCTTGGGGTTTCTGTTATTGAATTTTATTCATGAATATATGGAGGGAATATATATCAATCTTATATTATCAGTCTTCTTTCCTTGGTTCACATCGATTTTGATTTCGCGCATCATGTGCATAGATATGTTTCCATTGATGAATATAATCCTGCTTGACAATTGTTAATGCCTTATCTCAGCAGAATTAATCATTTTACTAGTGTAACGCTGACAGTAATGGCGGCGAATTTGGGTTTGCGATATAACCTATACCGTTATGGTTGTATTAGAAATCGATAATCCTCGTCTTTGAGTAAAGTAATAAATTGCATCCGTCAAGCGATCACACTTATCTTCTTTTTGTCGTCTTCAATGCCAATGACGTAGTTAATAAATTGTATTTCTTTTTTATATGTTTTTCATCCGTTTGCTATAACTTCAAATCTATTGGATCAAATATAGATTAAATAATTGATGTATTTTTTTGCAGCAAGATGTCCTGAAACTTAGTTATTCGATCTATGAAAACCCTGCAAAGAGACTTAAAAGGGCGAAGTCAATTGATAATGTTCGGTGCAATAATGATGATTCTGGTATTGAGGATGGCAATCAGAGTTTTGAGTCTAGTCCAAGTACAGATACCAGCATGCTTAACGACAGTGGACAGGGCCTGGAATGTGACATGAATAAGACCGAGGTGTTAAAACCCTTGGAGATCGCCACGGATAGTTCTATGGAGGAAACCAGTGCTAAAATCGAACCAGACATTAGTGTCAGTGAACAGACTGACATAAATACAATCAATGACACAGAAACCACATGTGATCAAAATAAAGAATGTATTCCGAATGAAAATCCTGCGCCAAATAGCATTTGTTCTAATGACATATCTTTACCTTCTGTTAGCAATACGAATGACCGTACTTCCGGTAGTGGAGAATGTCCGGAAGTAGTGGAGTCTTTGTTTAAAGACGAGGAGGATGTGGTTATTGACAAATTAGACGAGACAGTGAATAGAATTATCGCTGAGACAGACAATGAGACTGATGCTATGGATCAATCTACAGAGAAAAAGACAATCGATGTCAGAAGGTTTTCAAACGCTTCAACAGAAACGGAAATACATGATTCGAGTGTTTCAGTTCAAACGGACGTGCAGTGTTGTAGTGATTCTCTCGGTCTCACCCTTTGTGTTGAACATACACATACGTGTACGCAAACGCATGACAGTATTTCTGGTTCAAACGGAAGTTGCGCTGATGTAGGGATGCAGACAACTCCCGTTTCTCCTGCGAAACAGTGCAGTGTCCAAGACAAAGGCACTCAGCATAATGGTTGTGAGTCCGAACGAACGGACAAGGTTGCGTGTTCAGCACACAAGTCTCATTCCAAGTCAGAGGAAAAAGTGAGCAAGGAAACGGACAAATCGTGCTCTGGGGTATGCAACGGCCACAGTGTCAAACCTCGAAATGAAAAACTTGTCGTCAAGCTTAGCAAAGAAAAGGATTCCGAGTCTTATACAGCAACCATATCATAGGAATGCGAACGTGGCAAACCATGTTATCAAAACAACGTCTGAATAAGTCACTAAGAGACCCTAGTATTTTTTGTAATCAAAATAATGTCTTTGGATCTGTTTATCAGCGACTATCAAACAAATGCGTTTTTTTTTTAATCCAGGTGATATTTTGCTTTGAAAATATGAGAATACAAATCTATTTGATAATTTTCTGCAGAGAATACATAATGCATAATTAACGTTTACTGGTAATGCATGTAATGCCTGCTCTTTCTACAGAACCGATATCGATTTTTTAAAATTTGATAATTGAGTCTACACTGTTTCATTTTGAGAAGTTTGTAGCAGTTTGCCAAGGCTGCCATTTTCGAATTCGCATTGAACGATGCCACAAAATGTAATTCGGAAGTGATCGCACCGTGGTACTTCATAGACGTTAATACTACATGCCAAGTATTTCTTATGAATACACATGTATTGCATGTTGCTTCGTGATACGTTTCTTCTTTGACCTGTATTGTAAACTGCAAATTAAACACCGACTGAGTCTGGTAATCACTCAATCAAAGGCGTGACAATTATATGAGATAACACAAGATTCCATTCGAACAGGAGTTGTTTCCCTTACTTTCGTGTCACAATATTCTATCATTAGATAATATGTCTCAATTTTTTCACATGAATGAAATAAACCTAATTTGAACTATAAATCATTTGTGGTTTCTAAACACTCTGTCAATTTAAATTTTATTTTTTATTGTTTTTTTTGAAAATCATCTGTGAAAACACAGAACAAAGAAAGGTTTTGGATGTGTACCTTGTATCATATAACATTTTAACTCACAATTTGTTTTCCTTTTCGCATAGCTCCCATGTATAGTTGTATATAGTCTATTGAAAATTCTGAATATTTTTCGATGGTATTAACAATTATATATTGCATTATGAATTTTTATCACATCTTCGATGAAGCAATAGTGTTAACTGATAATTTTATCATCATAACGTATTTCTAAATTTCCCTTCATGAATCAATTGTCTAACAACATTCCTTTGGCATTCAGTATGTATTACAATTTGTGTTTATTTACGAGATTAACAGAAAGTTCCATTGTTATTTGTCATTTAACCTACGTTTATTTTAAGCAATCAAATTATGAGAATTAAAAATACTGTGTCAAATATGAATTTGAAACTTACTCTTTCATCTTATTGATTCTTCTTTCAGTTTTTGTTTTTTAACATAGTTATAAAGGATTTTACAATTTTAATGGCAATTTCTGAGAAACGCCATATTTCGATGATGAATCAATTTGTAATAGAACGTTGAAGATAAGTAAATTTGTCATTTTGCTTAAAAAATTAATTTTAAATTTATGGTACCCATATACAAATGTTTTATTGGTTTCCAATTATATTGTAAGCTTTAACATTATTGTTACCGATTTTCGAGAATCGTAAAAAAGATAAATAAAAACAAAAACACAAAAGCGGTGATATAGTAAAAACATAAAGGTAGTTCTAGTGATACCTAATAAGAGGTAAAATAAAAGACTCCTCAACTTGAGAGATAACCTATTTCAACCACCATGTTAGGATTTCTTGATGACGTTAACTGATTACATTATAATTATTTTATTGAATTTAAACCACATTCCGAAACATTTCGCAAACGTATTTAGAAACTACCTAAATTTGCAACATTTTGTTTTAATATACATATGAAACTTTGTAAGTAAAGATGCTTACACAATAATGTATTCATGATTCTTATTGGCATTATAATAGCTTGAAGCCATAACAAACAACATTTTAACAGTATTAATAGATTTAATTGCATAATGTTGATATCAAAATAAAAATAACATAAACATCGAAAGAATTATTTCTTACAACTTCTCATTTAAGCAAGCACTGTTTTTCCAGTTTGCTTTTAAGCCTGCCACATAAGGTAAATATAGCCATTTGAAAAAGAAAATGTGAAATTAGGGAATACATATCTCACACAAATTATCATTCAAGTCTTCAATGACATATCTTTTTTCGTCCATGATAGTGTAAAATTTTCTAATTTCTATGATACATCCTTTACAATGTAACCCTTAATGCATACGCTAAGAAGGTGCTAATAGATAGTTATCTGAATTGTGTTGATTTTTTCAATCCCTTCGCAATCATATACTGTATATAAACGTTTCTACAAAGTATTGTATATAAAAGAGGCCAGTCACATCAGCGAATTAAATAATGTTTTGTAAATAGAAACAAAAGTACCGTTTGCGACAAAAACTTCAAAATGTAAACCTGCATATTTAAGCACTTTTTTTCTGTAAGTATTGCACTGAAATATGATCGCGCCGATAATGGTTTCTGTATATCGTTTGTACAGCAGTTGATATTCCTGCGTGAATTGTTCATTGCACTTCTTTGTCGAATAGGGATCTTGACATAAAAGTTTGGTACCGTCAAATTAAGTACGTTTACAGAAATGACATAATCACAGTCTTGCCATGAATTGTTTTAACCACGCGTTCCGCAGTTATCATTAGGTACTAACTGTTGGGTTGGATCTTTTCCAAGTTCTTGTGTGGCCATAATGTATCATTGCAGAGATGATACCGATAAAGAACTGATAATCATAGTGTACACAACAGCATGGTGATATTTATATTTATGCATTTCATCAATGAATTACAAAAGCAGAAATTTAGAAAAATCAAATGCAAACAATGAAAATTGTGAATTTTCCTTACCGGAGAAAGGTAGGAGATTATTTAACTAAAACGAGTAAAACTTTGAAGTTAATTTTAAACCCTTTGAATACCTTTCTGTATAGTATAGTAAAGTTATACCTTTAAGATAAGGAGTCAATAAAAGTATCAAGTATGATTAATCCCTTTTAATCTATTTTCTTTTCTATCTAGTACCTAAACTCTGCGATCTGTGCAACATGTATCATCATCCTAGATCCATGTCAAGGCAACATCCTATCGTTTTATTAAATAATCAGAACGGTTCCTAACTTTGCTTTTAAAGAATACAAATAATGATTCCCCAATGTTATTCAATAGAATTATATAAATCGGCGTCTAAATCGCTGCTTAATGTTATTTAATCAAATTAAGTAGAGAAATATATCGGATAACGAGAACAACACAATTTTTGTTTTAAAAAATCCACCATATCATTATCATAGTACTAAAGAAGAATAGCAAAAGGAAAGATCATTAAACATTTATGACATAGCAATACGCTTCAATGTATAGTTATTATTTGAGCCAACCATTACAGTTCATATATAGGAACATTCTTCACTACTGTAGGGGTTGTTATTTTTGAGGTTGTTATTATCATTATTATTATTTTCTTTATTTTCGAGGAGTTAATAAAGTCGCTAAAATACATACAATGAAAATCAGATTTATAGTGATAACCATCGTCCATTGCATGACTTCCACAAATGAAAACATATCGTATTTGCCTCAAACAAACCAATAAAAATTAGAACCGCTGAGAAACCTCCCTTTACAGTATACTAACATTTTCACAACTCATCAATGCTACAAGTAGCATAGTGACATATCCTTGTTGTAGTATGTTGTTTATTGCATTCATTTCCTAGTTAGTTATGTACACAGGTATGAGTTGTAACCTACAGATGAAACACACGGAGTTGTTAGTTCCATTTATCATAAAGTAGATATTTTTGTTTCGAGATTATGACTGATGTGATGATCAATTCATCGTAGTTAATTATGGCTTATGTTAACTGTAAAATATCTCTGTTGTTTGTTTGTTTGTTTGTTTGTTGAATATTTTAGAATAAATATTGATTAAAAATTCCGATTTAGTTTGAATTTATTATTTGTACAGATATCAAGCAAACCGTATTCAGGTAACGTGTAAATGACTTCAAGAAAGACGTAACTTAATTCTAAGGTTAATATATCCTTTGAACTTGAGGTTAAACCATTTTAAAGAATAAATCGTTCACATAATATTTAAAACAGTTATCAGAATACTGTTGGTTTTACAATGCATGTGTATTGTAACAGTTGATGTATCCTGAAATCTGAAGTTAGATCAGCAGATGATTATTATATGTCTGGCCACTTCGTTGCAATTATCTCTGTTCTCATTTTGATGACTTGACATAACAAAGATTAACCTATATCAAAATAAAGACTGAGTTTGATGACGAGTTGATGGTTAGCCTGTGGAGAATACCGTATTTTCTATGTACATGGTTATGCAAATTGTATCTCCCATATCACCGTCATACCGAGTTTGGATTAAAATTCCAGTTATTTTGTTATAACAGAACAAGTTTGACTACGCTGTGAGTCTCCAGTTGTAACATTTTCAACAGATCTGATGAAGTAACTTGGTACCATCATTTGCAAATGTTTGTTAAAAATACAACACAGATATTTTTGATATATTTTCAATAAAAAGTACTTGACAATGCTGTCACGATTATTTCCAATGGTTACATATGAATTTAAAGATTAGATAAAGCCCAGATTTCATCCATTTCGCATAAATTTTCATTTTCTATGCAGTAGATGTATTGGTGCCTGTGAGATAGTTTCGGATACGGTAACTGTCGTGAATAAGATATTTTACATCACAACCAACAATGTAATATATTCACTGGGATGGGATTTCTCTGAATTCCCGAATTAAATATAATCTGAAATGGGACTACATATATAATACAATATTCTTGGTAACTGTTGACATACAGGTGATACAAATTATAATTAGGCATTTCATCCTCGACAATCTTGAAGCATAAACTAACGAGTATAGCAAGGAAATGTCAGCTGATTCATACATCTAAAAATAGATAAATGTCTCGAGAACTTGGCTCAGCGTTTCCAAGTGATATTACCGATTCCTTTCACAGAACACCGTTAATCGATGAGTCATGATGTTCGCAAGGGATTCCTCGTCTATAATGACTTCCTGCTTCAACGTCCAATACAAGATTTACTGCGACGATGCATTAGACTACTAGGCAGAACCATTGATGGCTCGGACTCCAGGCTCCTCATTAGTGTTTGACACATGATTAGCATTTTACCAAATATGTCTATCACTAAATCCCTTCATGGATTGTGATTTGATAAAAGAAAACAACAAATCCTTCAGCTCAAATTGAATTTGGTCCTTATCGAATTTTGTGGGCCTGCCATTATTTTACTATTGCTGTTAGCGTGTTCAAGGCTTTCGGGATTCAAGTTAGCATTTCTGTTCTCATTTGATTTTTCGCGCATGGCTGCTAATGATTAGGTCGGTCATTAGGTCGGTCCCTTGTATAATGTTATTTCATTGAAGGCAGACAGCAGTGCTGTTTGATTGCATCCAGAGTAATCAAAACCTCTCACAGAGGAAAGTGTTATCTTGCTAGTTCTCTCCTTATCATCACGGCCATGATATCATGTGATCACGACTACTGTTAACGAACCATATTAGAATTCATCACAAAAATATGACAGTTGATCAGTTTGATAACACGTCTTTAAACTGATAAAACACAATTTCATCCATATTTTAATGAAGACAACATTTCTTTCGTCTATCCACATTTTTGAAATTTTCAACCAAATTATTTTTATATCTTTGAAAATTAAAACAACTGTTCTCAATTATCTTATATGTTATTTATTATCAATAAAGAGTATAATGAGTGACATATCGTGTGGTAATGATCTTTTTAAAAGCGTAGACAATTATCATGATCTGATCATAGTAAGTTCCGGTAGTAAAATTATTGAATGAAGCTGAAATTTTCATGTCTTTAAAAAAATTATTCTGGATAACCAGGTGATGCTGTGGACATCAAAGACTACACAAAACATAACGAACCTAATTCACCAGGGTAAATTTATGAATTCCCACTTATGCCTCTGATCTTTCAATAGTTTATCTGTTCATTTCAATAAAATGTCAGTTAATAATCAATAAATTCCGTCATCATTGACACATTTTTAAATTAACATTTTTATTTATATTTTTTATCTTTTACAACAGCAATAAAGATTTGCCTAACGATATCAAATTATCTATCGATTGCTCCGTGTGCATGGGTTCAAGCGCTCTACCAATAAGCACAGAAAGTAACGTTACAATTTTTTCCTAATGAACACAGAAAATTACACGTTTCAATTTAAATTTTTCTTCCTGATATGTCGTTATCTTAAAAACTAGGTCATTTAGACTCTTCTGAATGTTAACTTGATACAAAAATTACAGGATATTGAATGATGTAGTTGCGACCTCTGGTTTTCCGTTTCAGAATAATTGATATTCCTGTATGAACAACCCGCTCTTCTAATCAGTCGCCTTACATGCTGGTCTTTTTTCATTAGTCGAT